GAGTTAAACCACGACAGTTACAGTTTATTCTAAATTATATTTTCTACCAAATATTCCATGTTGTTATCACAGCATGTTTTTTCTCAAAAGAAATCTACACAGTAGATTAGGGATTATGTTGGGTAATTGTTAAGCATTAAATGCTAATGACAGGCATGCACCACCACCCCCCACCTTCTGCAGTTATGTTTTGCAGTCTTCTATTCATTTATTTTTGTTTGGCATGTTCTCAGTGTAAAATAAATTACGAAACTGTTTTGTGGGTATAATTAACATTTCAACTTTAATATAGAGACTTCAAAATCCAACAATTTTCATTTGCTACAAACATTCTGACATAAGGTTTTTTCTAAATGTAGAATCAACCAGGTTCGTCTCCTCTTAAAGGAACTGCATAAAGAACCTCCCTTTGACAATGATATTAAGGGTAACAATATGTGTACTGATTAGGATTATTTAAAAATAATAATGAAATATAACAAATTTAGACATATGAAGCTACTAAGTCCTTCTTCTATCTAATCACTGACTTTCAATCTTCTTTAGGTATTCAATTGACCGTCACACTGACCTTGAGAGATATTTTACTATTAATGCAGAAGATGGCAATATCAAGACAATAAAAGCTTTGGATAGGGAAGAAATTGCTTGGCATAATATATCTGTCTTTGCAGTTGAAGTCCGTAAGTATTTCACTGAGATATTTTATAATCAATTGTATAAATTCTGTAATCTTCCAATTGTCTCAATTTGATAAGCTTCAATAAATCCTAACAGAAATAGTTTAGCCTATTTAATTTTTACCTGGATACAGCTGGGATTTTGTTTGTTTTGAGGGGGTTTCCTGTTTCTCTTTCATTGTGGTTTTGCTTACTCCCATAGACAAACAACACCAGGAAGCCAAAGTTCCAGTTGCAATTAAGGTCATTGATGTCAATGACAATGCTCCAAAATTTGCAGCAGCCTATGAAGCGTTTGTCTGTGAGAATGCTCGAAGCAATCAGGTATGCCTGTGCCCAGCACCTTCCCTGCGCATGAATCTCTTCAGGGTTTTAGCCCTGTTTTGTGTTGGCAGCTGAAATGAGTGGTAGTAAACAAACCTTCATTTTGAAATTTTGGCCAAAATGCCTAGAGTACACAGAAAGGCACTTTCCTGTGATTTTATTTTGAACTGCTATGAACAGTTATAGATACAGTGGTTCATGCATTGAATATGACTGAAGTTGACGGTGAGTATCAAGCATCATGTGAGCAAAGAAGTTGGTTGGGAGCAGCTTTCCCAGTTGTGAGACTCTTTTGGGTATTAAAGCAATGCTCAGGATCTTCTGAAAAAAAAAATCACAGTGCAATGCTTGGGGAGATTAGCCTGAACAATCTGTGAGGAAGAGGGGATAGTATCATACAGAAGTACAGCTTTACACATTATCTGCACTTTTGCAGATAGTGTAACAGTTTGAAAAGGACATTGTACTAACTTCCTCTGAGCTGCTGAATTTTCTGCAGAATTTCATTTAATCTAATAAGTTACAATTAGCACATATTTGTATATAAGAATGTATATATAGGTGTATACTTATGTCTATAATTCTGTGTTCATTAAACGTAATAGCAAATTAAGATAGCTTGTTCTAGTTTTGAGTCTGCTCTGTGTTTATAATTGTATACATTTGTTGAGGTATTTGGGGGCTTTTTGCTATTTCAAAATTCTCTGTATTAAAGAGATTTCACAGAATGCTGTCTATATTTGAGGTATCCAGAAAAGCAGTCTTTTGTTTACGGAGCGCTTTTCTTTTACAGCAATTTATTACAATTAGTGCTGATGACAAGGATGACTCAGCCAATGGCCCAAGATTTATCTTCAGTTTACCACCTGAAATTACTCATAATCCAAATTTTACCCTCAGAGACAACAGAGGTATGTATGAAGATTCCCCCTATACTAGAGTCCAAAAAAATGACAAAATAAAATTAATAGCCAACATAATGTCATGCAACAGCATTTTCATTAACTTTGATAGAGTGCCTGTTTTCCAGAGATTTAAGGAGAAAGGCAAAAAAAAAAAAAAGGGGAGCTGAAATACGGATGTTCTTGGAATAATGTAATGCTTGTTAACTCAGTTTCATTTTCTTGAATACATATTTTAAATTACATAATAATATCCTACATGAAAATGCCACTGCTGTTTTATCTCACAGGAAGTAAGATAAAGGTAAAAAGCATTGACAAAAAAATTCACTAAATGTAATTGACTGATCTTAATTCAGAGAAAACTTACTGCTAAGCTAAAATTAACTGAGGCAGAATAAATTGTTAGGTTGCTTGTATTTGTTCACCTTACTCTGCTTGCTAATATTTTTAAATTATGGATCACAGGAGACAAGGACTAAATTCCCAACAGAATAAAATCACTGTCATGCTAACCTTTTGTAGGAAAAACAAATGTGTACTTCTGTTGTGAAGCATATCCAGATTAGATGTGTCTCAGGATATGGGTATCCTGATCCCTTTGCCAATTTTCTGTTCATGAAATATAGCATAGCTTTGCATTCAGATTGACGTTAAGGTGCAAGAACATTGTAGGCAAAAAAGTACAGGCATAGGTGAGTGTCAAAGCTTATTTGATTGTCTGACATAGTATCAGTGAACCTAACTTTTCTGAGGTTGAGGAATTCAGAGAGGGGTAAGGACATGTTCAGCCATTATACATATTTATTCTATTTATTTAATGATAATCAATATGATATTCTCATTCAATGCTCATTTGTTATTTTCCTGTACAGTGAAAAAAATGGTTCAGCTTTGAAGCACACTGGTTTTAATTAACAAGATTTACTGTTTGAAGAAAATCTGACTGTTTTCTGAAAAGTAGAACTCACTTGAACTGCCTTAGATAATGAATCCAAATGATTTTGTCTGGACTGCCAGAAGTACAAAAGGCAACATAATCCAGATATATGATTTCAGTAAAAACTTTTTTTCTCACCAGTGTTATGCTGTAGCATATTTTATATCTCTAGCAACATCTGAAGTGAGGGTAGTTACCATCAGAGTTCTCGAACAACATTTCCGTTCTTGAAGGATCAAAGTAATACTGTTACCTAGTGCTTGACACTTACACATACATAAACAATTCATAAAGGATGCAGTGGAGGAGATATGTTTATTCACTTTGAAGTAGTAAACCACAGTTTTTGAGAAATTGATTAATGTATTTTTAGGCAGATATAAATAAAAATTTATTCTTTGCTTGAGACCCTGAAGCCAATTTTCTCTTTAAAAGATAATTTATAGCCAGCATATCAAACAGAAAATGGATTAGATTTTATAATCTAACTGAGAAAGCATAGGTCAGAATTGAGATGCTCTGATACAGTTGCAAGCAAATGGTACTATGGTTCAACTTCAGCCAATTCCACTAATCCTTTATTTCCACGTGCAAGAAATTATTTTTTTAATGACAAGGTTAACTCAGAAAAAAAAAAAGGTCTTTTAATTGAAAGGTTGATATCAGTTGAATGTAGTGACTGTACCTGACAATACTGCAAAAGGTTATTTCATCAAGACAGTATTTAAGGATTGAATCTTCCTGTATAATTTCATGTTTGGGAAATATTGTAATGAAATCATCCATTTCCATCATGTTTTTCCCTCATTTTTATATAGTCCTCAGGGCAGCGTTGTTGTTAATTTAACTACTTCTGTGGGTTTCTTTTAAGCAAGCTATGGTGGACAGCAAAGTAAAAAAGCTAAAATTCTATGTACTTCCATATAAAAAAACTTCTCAGGGAGAGTGTGTTACGATTTGCAAGTCATATTTACATGATTATTTAAAAATTTTTATACCATGCCACCACTTTCTGAGGGAATTTCTAGTTTTTAAAAAAATGGCTTTATTAACTGTGGAGAACAGTTAATGAAAACTCCAATGTTTGGTCTATTACAGAACTTTAAAGTGAATACAGACTATAATTATAATTTAATAGAGATTCTTTGTACCAGCTTCTAAATGTAATCACATATTGCAGTAATCCAAAAAATCGTAATCACATTCTACATCCTGTTAATAGCCTACTGTGTTACCAAGGTTTTCAGCTGAGACTATCTTCCATATAAAACATAAGATAATGGCTTATCACATGCTGTGATAAAACAATGAACTACTTTTGCACTGTTTACTTACACATAAGTAAACAGCATTGTGTTTGCCCAAGCTCTGTTCAGTTTTACGCCCATCGAAGTCAGAGCTTCGAAAAAGCAGTAGGGGCTCATGACACTTTTAGCAAATGATTTCCTGCTTTTAATGCTGCTCTGTCCTAAACTGATATGCCTGTTACCTGTGCTCACTCGGCTTGTGTGGAGGTCTGGCACAGAGCCAACATTGCTGTAAGAATTACAATCGGCTTGCTTTACTATGCTGCACAGAGATGGATTACACTGCAAAGGCAAAAGCGAGGTGTAGTAATGTTCTCAAGCACACAAGGTAGTGCTTTACAAAGAATGAAGTTAAATGATTTTAGTCCACTAAAATCAGTGACTAAAATCCACTCTTTTAACATAAAAATATGTCCTCCTGCTATCAATTTCAGATCTTTTAATCAAGATGTTTTCAAACATATGAAAAATAAAGTTACGGCGTTTGTCCATGGATTATCCACAGCAATTGCCATTGCCTGGTAATGATTTTAGACAGTTGGACCTCTGAAGTTGTTTAGCTTTCTTACTGAATCAGCACTCAGTTTCTGATACAGGTGATAATGTTCACAATGCAGTCAGCTTCTTTAATCTGGAAGCTTCCTCACAAAATATATAAATTAACAAGCCCCCATTTGCCTGTATGTAGAGGAAAATTAGGAAAGCATGTCCCGGCCCGGTTATCCTGGGAAGGGGGAGATTCGTTGTTATATCCAGAGTGAGATTAAGACAGAAACGAGGTCAGATGTCGCTAACAAAGGAGTTTATTTTTGTTGTAAGAAAGTAGCGATAGGAGAGAGAGAAAATAGAAAAGGGGGAAAATTTAACAAGCGGTTGGGATAGTCACCACCATGGATCCAGCGGCATCCCGTTGGTCCGTAGTCTTGCAGTCTTCGGTGGGGAGGGGTCCCCCTCACCGCTTTGGGT